ATATACTAAAAATTATATATATATATATATATATTTTTTTTTTTTTAAATAATATAATCAGACTGATTATGATATACAAAATAATAAATTAACAAAAAATATTTAGTATATGTATATAAATGGGTAGTATAGTATATTTAGTAGTGCTGTCAAACGTTTTTGTTCACATAATATATGTGTGTGTACTGTGTTTATTTATTATGTGTATATAAATACAAACACACATGCATGGATATATTTTGAAAATATTTACATGTATATACATTTATATTCTTATATTTTATATTATATAAAATATATAAACATAACATATTTTCTTGCATGTGTTTGTATTTATATATACATAATAAATAAACACAGTACACACACATATATATTATGTAAACAAAAACTTTTATTTTGCATGCAATTAATCGTGATTAATCGTTTGACAGCACTAATGCTTAGTATATGGTATAAAAAATACATTATAATATCATAATATGATTTATTATATTTTTGCATTTTTAACCAAACATCCATTTTTTCATAAAGAATTTTCATAATTACTAAGAATTACACCAAGAGAGTTCGATTCTGTACCCAGAAGCCTCTGCACAAAAATACGATTTCTGCTCAGAATAAACCAAACTTTATTTCGATTTTGGTCAAAAGAATGACGAGGTGTGTTTATGAGCGTGTGATTGGAGCGTCTGACCTGTCTGATCCGTCTGGCAGTGGCGAATGAGTCGGACCGTATCGGCGATCATGTGCTGAGAACAGAGACAAGCGTCAGTAACACTGATGAGCTGACGAGTGATGAGTGACAGCTGTCAATCACTCACACACACAACACTCACCAGCTTCTCGAAATTCACCAGATTATCCTGAAATGTTTTGTTCCCCTCGTGGATGAAGGTGATATCTGAAAACCAGCACAGATCACAGCATTACTACACCAACTAACTAATCACTGGCTATACAGTTAAAGCATCTGTGTGGGTCTTTACCTATACGCAATATGTAATATAAAACATTGTAATATTACAATTGAATAATAAAATGTCAACTAAAATAATAACAAATATTAGATATGTGACTCTGGAGCACAAAAGCAGTGTTAAGTCGCTGGGGTATATTTGTAGCAATAGCCAACAATACATTGTATGGGTCACATTTTTATGCCAAAAATCATTAGGATATTAAGTAAAGATCATGTTCCATGAAGATATTTAGTAAATTTCCTACCGTAAATATATCAAAACTTAATGTTTGATTAGTAATATGCATTGCTAAGAACTTCATTTGGACAACTTTAAAGATGATTTTCTCAATATTTAGATTTTTTTTGCACCCTCAGATTCCAGATTTTCAAATAGTTGTATCTCAGCCAAATATTGTTCAATCCTAACAAACCATACATTAATGGAAATATTATTTATTCAGCTTTCATATGATGTATAAACATAAATTTAAAAAAATTGACCCTTAGTGGCGAATGAGTCGGACCGTATCGGCGATCATGTGCTGAGAACAGAGACAAGCGTCAGTAACACTGATGAGCTGACGAGTGATGAGTGACAGCTGTCAATCACTCACACACACAACACTCACCAGCTTCTCGAAATTCACCAGATTATCCTGAAATGTTTTGTTCCCCTCGTGGATGAAGGTGATATCTGAAAACCAGCACAGGTATAAACATAAATTTTAAAAAATTGACCCTTATGAGGTTTTGTGCTCCAGGGTCACATATATTTCTAATATGTAAATATTTTATTAAACAAAAAATAATGTCATAAAAAAAGACTATGAGTATATAACAAAATGTAAATATATATATATATATACATTTTGTTATTATATACATAATAACAAAATTATATATAATTTTATTAAAAAATCTGTATCTGACAAAACAACTAAACAACTATATTTTTTGTATTAATTTCATTTTCATAAATATAAACTAAAATAATAAAAATAAAATATTTTAATATACCAGTATTTTTTAATAAATTACAATAAAATTATAATTAAATATTTTTAATATACAATATCATTTTATTAAACATAAGAATAGCACATATCGGTTATAAAAAACAGTCATAAAAAATGAAATGAAAAAAGCAATATTTTATATTTTTAATATAACAATATTATTTTAAACATAGGAATAATCAGTATGTCATAAAACAATCATTTTATATTTTAATATAAAACAAACTAAAATAATAAAATGTTATAGTTTTAATAAATATAAACTAAAGTAGTAATGCTTTTTTAATATATCAATATAATTTTAATAAACAGAAGAATAATTGGTTTCTATCATAAAAAGCAGTATTTTTGTATTTTACTAGTAAAATGTAAACTAAAAATAAATATACAATATTTTAGTTAATAAACATGTTATTAATCAGTAACGGTCATAAAAGCTGTAATTAAAAATGTTCATAAAAAATTAAAAAAGTATTTACCTTTGAGCAGCAGAGGCATGAAGGGGATTTTGGGCGGCTTCGTTTTCTTGAAAGCGTCTCTGTAGGCTTTGTGATTCATGGATGGATCCTGAGGAAGAAAGCAGATCAATCTCTTTATGTTACTGATGTGACATGAAAGCAGAATCAACTCTATTTGTATTAGTACGCTGTTTTATGTTATCTTTACAGACAGGGTTTAGCTTACAGTCAACAGCTCCAGCTCAGAGAAAAGCTTCTTGAACTTTCCAGGAACTTTCTGCAGGAACAAGACAGAAACTGAGCATCTGCTGTTCAACTGGCTGCATCAGAGCTGGTTAAAGGGATAGTTCACCCAAAAATGATGTTGGATAGCAGACTTATAAGTGCATTACTGCCACCTATCTCTCAAATGGACCAGTGACACTCTATCTACAATCTCAATTAGGAGTGTCAATGGTCCATTTGAGAGATAGGTGGCAGTAATGCACTTATAAGTCTGTGATCCGCTGTAAAGCAAGACGACGAAGACGCGTCACGCACCAGCTGTTGAGAACACGCTCAGTTCAGTTCAGACATTGCAGTGAATCAGAGGTAAAAAAAACATATAAATATTGTTCAGTTTCTTGCACAGACCGATCATTTTGTGTCTTTACACATCAATGTATCGTCACGAGCCGCAGGGTTTAATTTGGTTTTGTTCGTGTATGTTTTTTTTGACTCTCAAAGTCATGATTCCCATCCACCTCCATTATATGACTGACAGACTGCAACGGTTTGAGTTAAAAATCTTTGCTTGTGTTCTACTGATGAAACAAAGTCACCTACATCTTGGATGACCTGGGGGTAAGCAGATAAACATCAACTTTTCATTTTTGGGGGAACTATCCCTTTAACAGAGGTTATAGAGCAAGTAGAGCGGTTTTACCTCCCAGGTCTGGTTGAGGCGGCTGACAGCGGCTGTGTTTAAGCCCATGATGATGGCAAACGAGGAGTTGAGGTTCCTATGCGCTTTACAGCTGAAACACACACACACACACACACACACACACACACACACACACACACACAAACACACACACACACACACACAGACACACACACACACACACACACACACAGACAGACACACACACACACACACACACACACACAGAGTAAATCATCATGAGCAGATATTAAACACACAGTCTGCTCAGATCATCTCAGACGGGACGCCTACAGTCCCTTTGCTGGAAGTCTGTGAAGTTAAATCTGTGCTAAATACTCAAACACCTCCTCATTCACTGAGTCTCTAAAGAGCAGTTTTTAAATAACAGCCATTCAGTCTCCAGTGAGAAACAATTAGTACAATTAGAAACCATAGACAGTCTTCAAAATTCATTTACAACCATTCAGACTGCAAAACTACTTCGCAAAAATAACCACTACAATAATAATAATATAAATTATTCTATTATTACAATTTAATAAATAATGACAAATATTTATATAATTATATAATTTAATAATTATATAATAATTATATGTAAGTGTGTTTACTTGTCTCATTAGTGTTTAGTGCAGTTGTCGTTGCAAGGAAAGGCTTGTTTTGTTTACTGTGTGGAGACGTGCTGATATCGCGTTTGGTCTCATTCTGTATCGCGTATCTTGCAAGTGTCTGCGCTTGCTTGGCCATTTGTTGTGGAGAAAATAAGGAAAGTGTGTCCAGCTGAATTAATGTAGTATTTTGTTAGACGGGTATAAAAAAGCTTAGTTTACCGCGACAGCGGTCGCGTGACGGCCTCCTCGTGTGAAGACCGAAGAGTGTAAAGACCATCGACTCTACCGTGCGACTCCACCGGGCCGGACACCGGCAAAGGATAATTATCGCTTTTTATTTCTGCTCTTTCCTATTACTTGTTTCACTTCAGTTTTTATAACCATTTCTTACTATTTGTAAGGAAGTTGTTGTTTTTTAGCATGTGTGTTATTTTTTAGGATTAATGATAAACTACTGTCGTTTGATTTGTATTATTTGTATTTGTTATTTATTTAAATTTTAGTTAAATTATGTCTGAATTTATTGTCTGTATCAGTCTTTTATTAAGTTTTAGTTTTATTTCATTTGAGTTATTTTAATACTTCAACAAACTAAATGGAAATGAAATAATATATATATATATATTGAATTTATAAATGTGTATGTATATATATATATATATATGTATATGTGCGTGGCTGGTACATACACACATGTAGTTGTGTTTTGGTGTTTGGCTTAGTGTTATGTTAGAAACATTATTATACTCATACTTTTTGTTCTTTAATATTTTTAATAGTTTTTAGCTTTATTTGTTTGTTTTCTATTTAAATGTTATGTTTTGAAATTTTGTTGTATGCATTTGTCATTTTTATTTAATTTCTTTATTTTTAAAATGTGTATAGGTAGTATTTATAAAGTTTTAGCTTTTAGTTTTGGATCTGTTTTTAATTGTTTTAATACTGCAACTGGTTGCTTCTGTTGTCCTCATTTGTAAGTCGCTTTGGATAAAAGTGTCTGTTAAATGACTAAATAAATAAAAAATGTATTTAACAATAATATATTATTGTTACTGTATTAAACGTAAATAAACAGTATCTGTCATGAAAGCAGTTTTATTGTATATAATAAAATATAAACTAAAATAAATTAATATTTCAATATTGTTGTATTAAACATATATGAATAACCACTATGTCAAATAGTAATATGTTTTAATAATAAACTAAAATTATAAAATATTTAATATTTTTAATATATCAGTATTATTGTACTAAACAAAAACAATACGTATCTGACATAAAATGCATTACTAAAATGTAATAATAAATAAAAACTAAAATAATAGAAAATAATATTTTAATATATTGCAATTAATATATAAAATATTCCAGTTGTTTTTTTCTTTATATCTGTGAAAGAGTCTGTATTTAACACTTTATTGTATTAGACCTAAGAATAAGTCATATCTGTCATAAAAAAATATTATATTGTAACAATGAAATAATAATACAATTAATACATTTAATAAAACAATAAAGATAAAATATGTAATATTTTAATACATCTTTTTTTTTTATAAAACATGAATGATCAGTATCTGTCATAAAAAGCAGTATTATGTTTTAATAATAAACTACAAACTAAAATAATAAAAGATATATATTATTTTTAGTGCTGTCAAATGATTAATCGCGATTAATCGCATCCAAAATAAAAGTACATTAATGAGGAAAAAAAATTACTTAAATGATTTTAGCAAATGGCTGCAATATAACAAAGAGTGAAAAATTGAAGGGGGTCTGAATACTTTCCATACCCACTGTATACATAATAAATATACACAGTACACACACATATATTATGTAAACAAAAACTTTTATTTTGGATGCGATTAATCATTTGACAGCACTAATTATTTTATTAACAAAAACAATCAATATGCTTCATGAAATGCATTATCATTTAATAATAAAAAGCTAAATAATAAAATAAAAATGTTTTAATGTATTTTCTAAAAATATTTTTTATTCTTTATATATTAATATTATTTCATTAAAGGGGTCCTATTATGCTTTTTAACTTTTTTAATTTTAGTCAGTGTGTAGTGTGTATGTTTGGGCATTAAAAAGATCTAGAAAGTCACAAATCTCAAAGTCCACTCTTTTTTTTTTTAAATCCCTTTTCAAGAACTACAACGAACGGCTCGTTTGGACTACAGCGTTGTTTTCCGGGCTTTGTGACATCACAAAGCAGCTCATTAGAATGTCATTACAAAGAATTCCCGCCTACAGAAATTGGAATGGTTGGGGGGTGGGGAGGGGCGAGGTTGTGGTTAGAACGCTTGGTTGAGTGAGTGCATCAGACGAGACGACGTAGAAGAAGTGCTGCTGCGGAGTTAATGCATCAGAGAAAACCAAGAAGAAGAGCTGCTGCAGAGTTAGTGCATCAGAGAAAACCAAGAAGAAGAGCTGCTGCAGAGTTAGTGCATCAGAGAAAACCGAGAAGAAGAGCTGCTGCAGAGTTAGTGCATCAGAGAAAACCGAGAAGAAGAGCTGCTGCAGAGTTAGTGCATCAGAGAAAACCGAGAAGAAGAGCTGCTGCAGAGTTAGTGCATCAGAGAAAACCGAGAAGAAGAGCTGCTGCAGAGTTAGTGCATCAGAGAAAACCAAGAAGAAGAGCTGCTGCAGAGTTAGTGCATCAGAGAAAACCAAGAAGAAGAGCTGCTGCGGAGATAGTGCATCAGAAAAAACCGAGAAGAAGAGCTGCTGCAGAGTTAGTGCATCAGAGAAAACCAAGAAGAAGAGCTGCTG